TATATATATATATTAAAAAATGGCATAGAGGATTTCAAAAAACATAAATATTAGTGTTGATATATCATCAACAATTTTTTATCATTTGAAATAAATTTTGAGGCATGACATGAATCTCAATATAATTTTTTGAATAAAAAACGCTCAAATTTCGTTTAAAAGTCCCTTAGAATTCTAATTTCAGCAAACTTATAGTCTATCTCGACAAGTTGGACCTAATGAAACCAAAATTGGTCCAATCTGAGTCACATCAAATCCAAATCAAACCATTAAAATGATATTGAAAATTTAATATGTCAATCAAATTTCCAATTTTACATGTTTATAATCAATTTTGATCTACTTATAACAGATTCTCTTTCTTTCTTTAAAAGTTTCATGTCCATATCCTTGACATGTATAATTCATATTCATTTTTTCAGTCCATATAGTCTTAAGAACATGAATTTTTTTTTCTTTGATTTTAGATCAACTAGATCATTTTGGACTATGTAACACATTGGTTACTGACGAACTGTCCAAGGCTATGCTGTGTTCATAGCTTAGTAAAGATTCCAATAGTCCAGCAGGATGGATCCATGGAGCCTTGACTAGACTATCTTTACATGTCAAGGCTCTTATTCGGCTTAACTATTGATCTACCCCTTTAAGTAATGTTGTTTCCTTTGTCAAGTCTATTATAGGCATGTACTGTAAGCCATTTTAGCTTAACAATGTCTACCAATCATGTTATGGTGACTCACTCTCTTCCGTATTGGGACAGCCAAAAAATCTCCTTGGCTGCATAAATTTTTAGACTATTTTGAGTAAACATAATACATTTTATTGCGAGTTTTTCTAAGTATTTCCCATGATTTAATTGACCACAAGGATATATCGCAGCGATCTCTTTGAGCCCCTAAATTAATAAATTTTATTTTGTAATTTGGTTTGGTTATGAAGGTCTTTCCATAGAATCTTTTTCATATATTTTCTTGTGTTGAGTATGGTGTGATTTACCATACACAATTATTTTCCCATTTAAGCCACAAGAATCTTTTTATATAAATATTTTTATAGCTACTCTTTTTTGCTTCTTAGTTTTGGTCCACCTTTAATCTATCATTCATTCCTTTGCTTTTTTTAGCAAAGGTGACGTAGAAAGGAAAGGAAGGTCTGAAGAGAACAAATGCTAAGAAGGCTATTTCAGGTAGAAGAAGACGGGTACCAACAATGACATCATTAGAAAGAAAAATAAATTAAGCAATGAAAAATATTATATCATAAAAGTTATATTGGTCAACAAAAGAATTTAAAGAACAAAACTATATTTTGACTTGCATCCACCCGAAGAGATATAACTCCGCTATATTTAAAAACTTTCACGCCAAGGCATGTGACATATTTGAAGTTCTTAGAAAAATTAGATCTAATGCCTATCATCAAGATTTGCTTATGGATATACAAATTCATATTATTATTAATATTCTATGCCATCAACCAATTTCCAACACTTCACACGAATCCTAAGATGTGATGTCGATCTTGATGCACCGTTTTGAGCAAGAAAGGTTCATACTTTGGTAAAAAGTCATCCGAAAGTCTGATTTCAACAAACTTATTGTCAAACTGATCGGCTCAACGAGACAGACCCAATGATCTCAAAATTAGTCCAATTCGAGTCGAAACAAGCTCAGATCAAGTCATTAAACAACTCTTGAAAGCTTTCTGAACATATTTAAAAGGTCAAACAATTGTCAAATATAGAAGCTTATAGTTGAATCGAGCATCTCGACAAGACGATTCCAACGAGCTCAAGATCGCTCAATTCTCACATCGTTAAGGCACTCAAATGTCCATCAAATGTCGTCTGATCAAAAGAAGCTCTTCGGACAATCCAAATGGTTCATATTTTTTCATTAATTGCACCCGGAACTCTATATGTAGCGCCCTACCCACACTTGAAACAATCTCATGCAACGCTTAGAAGATAATTTATTACTCTACCACCGCAAATCTTTTAGCACATATCAATTGGCACCGTCTATGAGAAACAAGCACTGTTCGACATTGTCTTCAACTCTGAGATGTTGAGCCACTACTTCCTTTCCCGATGATGTACATCATCCAACTGACGAATGAAACCAATTTGCATCTCGAAGATCATCACTAGAGCATTTTTCAATGTGGGGGGCAACCTTCACTGTAATCTCGAAAGTTTGTTCAAGTCAACGTCTCGGGCATGATTATAGTGGAGTTTTCCTCTCGCATCCTATTCAGAAACAAAGTCTTTTACAACATCTTCCAGACTTGGGGGTAATCTTCACTGCAATCTTGAAATGTCGTTCACGTTAACGTCCCGGGCATGAGTATGGTAGGGTAGTAATCCTAACTTTTGTTCAGACAAGTCTTTGAAAAATGTTCCTAGATTAGGGAAAATCTTCGTCACAAAAAATGCTTCCTCAGCGCCCCCACACTGTACTGGAGTTCCTCTTTAACCAGATCTAGAAGCTGATCTCTTCAAGACTCGATACATGGACAACTTACAAGTTTGTGGAAAACGCCCCTGTTAGAGGAAAAAAGATTCAAAAGCAGTAAATAATAAGTTGTCAAACATTCTAGCATGTTTCTTGAGTATGAGTATAACCATATCTTCAAAAAAATAAATAGTACCCCTAGAAATCGAGCACAAGAGGTAAGACTCAATGAGAAGCTACTATGCCCCTAGAAGTCGAGCCCAAAAGGCAAGACCCGATGGAAAGATACAGTACCCCTGAAAGTCAAGCCCAAGAGGCAAGACTCGATGGGAATATATGGTGCTCTTGAAAGTCAAGCCCAAGAGACAAGACTCGAGGGAAAGCTATCATGCCCTGGAAGTCGAACCTCAAGCTTAAGACGCAAGATTTGATGGAAAGCTGCCATGCCCTTATAAGTCAAGCCTAAGTGGCAAGACTCAATGGGAAGCTACCATTCCCCTGGAAGTCAAACCCAAGAGGCAAGGCTCAATAGGAATATATAGTACTCCTAGAAGTCAAGCCCAAGAGACAAGACTCGATGACAATCTACCATGCCCATAGAAGTCAAGCCCAAGAGGCAAGACTCCATGGAAATATAAGATATCCCTAGAGGTCAAGCCCAAGAGGCAAGGCTCGATAAAAAGCTACCGTACCCCTGGAAGACGAGCACAAGAGGCAAGTTTCGATGAGAAGTTAGTATTGGACAATGTCCTCACTAGAAAGACTCCAAGAAAGCAAGTGACAGATAGGGTCTCCACTCAAAAACCTCAGAAGACTACAAGCCTCATAATGCATAAATACATCAAAGACCTCAAAAGACTACGAGTCTCAGAAGGCACCGACGCATTTCAAACTTCTAGAAGGCATAAGCCTCCAAAGAAACAAACCCAAGAGGATGCAAATCTCATAATGCACAAGTCTAAAAATGTACATTGTTCTTTTTTATAAAGTGCACGTGCTAACATTACTTACAGATTTTCGCACGATTAAGAAGCCACAATGACCTCGGAAGCAACGCCAAAGACGTACAAAAAATACATTATCATCACTACAAATGTCACATCAAATGATTAAATAGTCATAAAGACGAACGGAGACTAGTATAAAGGTTATAAGAGGTTGGTTCATCTTCAAATAGTGGCAGATCACCTCTTCAAAAAATTTTGATACTTCTACTGATCTTCAGGGTGATGGGATTCTCCAGATATTGTCGGCACAGAAGCATGAAAATCTCTCGCGAAAAGCACGAAGAAAAACTATAACATTTTTTCATCTTTAATGGAATGTGCAACAACTACAAGCAAGAATATCCCAAGTCACCTGTTGGGCAGGGACGACGATAACCATCTTCATCTAAGCGGCGAGAAAGAAAATCTAGTTGATCACCTGCTACACATAAAGAGGCAACTTTTTTTTTCACAACAACAAGAAAGAAGATCACATTGATTGTCTGCTACGCAAGATGGGGACAAGTTTCTTCATCATAGTAACATGAAAGATCTCGTTGGTCACCTACAATATAGGTTGGGGACAACTTTTTTCCTTCACAACAACATGAAAGAATATATTGTTGATCGCCAGCTACGCACGACGGAGATGACTTTCTTCTGCACCTCAACAAAAAAAAAATCTCGTTGGTCGTCGGCTATACATGATAGGGATGACTTTTTTTTCAACTATAACAAAAAAAAAGATCCCTTTGATCATCTGCTACACAAGTCGGAATGACTTTCTTCTCTTAGGAAATCCCAGATCACCTGCTAGATAGAGATGATGACTACACCTCCTTATTAATCTCGTTTTTCTGTTTATAGGCTAAAAATCCATCAGCATTTATGACTAAAAATTAATGCAATCTATAAAAAACC